GTCTGGAATGTTTGTAATTTAAGTGTTTTAATAATCTTCCACTGTTAGCTTGTAACCCAAAATGGCAATGTTATCGTAAAACAATATCCGTAATAAAAGGGTTTTAAATTTAAAAAAAACCCAACAATTTCACGTTTTGTTTTTGATAATTCCTAATTAAGTTAGCCATAGTAGATGTTAGTTTGAACTGATGACAGATATCTTTAAAATGTAACGGTGTTATAGTAAAATAGAGAAAATTAAAAAGGTTCCGGTTTCATGCCTCTCCCGATGGCTTAAGTGGTAAGTTTGGTTTGGTTTGTTTTGAATTTCGCGCAAAGCTACACTAGGGTTATCTGTGCTAGCCGTCCGTAATTTAGCAGTTTAAGACTAGAAGGAAGGTAGCTACTCATCATCACCCACCGCCAACTCCTGGGCTACTCTTTTACCAACGAATAGTGGGATTGACAGATCACATTATAACGCCCCCACGGCTGAAAGGGCGAGCATGTTTGGTGGGACGAGGATTCAACAAACAAAACCAGTTTCACGGAAATTCTATTTTTTTTTCGAACGTTCTTTCCTAAGTCAATACTTAAGATAAAATATAAGATATTTCGTAAAAAGCAGTATTCAAAAACGTGGGAAGGTGTATTTTATATATGCAACAGCTGCCACGACTTCTATATCGGAGGGCCCAGCATGGCCAGGTGGTTAGAGCGCTCGACTCGCAATATGTGGGTCGCGGGTTCGAATCCCCGTCACACCAAACATGCTCGCCCTTTCAGCCGTGGGGGCGTTATATTGTGACGGTCAATCCCACTACTCGTTGGTTCAAGAGTAGGCCCAGAGTTGGCGGTGGGTAATGATGACTAGCTGCCTTTCCTCTAGTCTTACACTGCTAAATTAGGGACGGCTAGCGCAGATAGTCCTCGTGTAGCTTTGCGCGAAATCCATAACAAACAAACAAACTCAATTTAATGAACACAAAAAACACCTTCCCACGTTTTTGAACACTGCAAGTCAAATAAACACAACATAACCATAGGAAACACCAACTTATTAAATAGAGAAACAAACGCAAAATCAAAGAAACCCTACTTATACAGGAACTCAAACCAAAATTGAACCAACATAAAGGAACACCTTTATACTTATAATCGTTAATCACCTAACATGTAACTGCTACGCCACCTACAAAATAGTACCCGTTCACATTCTCGTCCCTATGACATGTGTCCAGTAACGGTCAGTTTCAAACTGTCTTTGTTAACCTGAAGATGACTTAAGAAGGTCGAAACGTTGTTCTTTTATTTTAATTAAAGTTTTTAATATCCATACCAGCCGTTTCTCCTATACATCCAGTTATTCTTACATGTTATAATAGTAGGTTGACACACACTTTTCTTTTCCAGTTATTCTTACATGTTATTATAGTAAGTTGACAATTTATTTTCCCAGAAAAGCAATTTTGCAGCGAAATCCAGCTCATTCCGTTGCTTAACTGAGCACAAAAACATTCTCCTCATTCTCGAACCTTGGCTACCGTCTTCCTCATTTCACCTAATCCTCCACCAGTACCGTTTATGA